AAAGATGGATTAATATTTTTTTGTCGAAGTTGTGTTATGATTATCAATTTATTGGTGTATTTCAAGTACGTATAAAATAATTTAAAATATTTAAGTTAAAAATGTTACACGATGTTTCTGTATGAAGATGTAATATTGAAAAGCCCAGACATGAAATAAAGAAATACCATATCAAAAACTGCATTATGCATATTTTATTACTCTGATGTTCCAAATTGCAATTCCAATGTGGAATATAAACATTTTATGACATTGAGATGAGACGTCTTCTGCCTTCCAATTTCATAACCCATTCATTTCTTGCTTCTGGAAAAATTGTTTCGTCTGTCCCCTTGTTGGCAGTCCGTTTGCGGACAATTGCTCTTTTGATGCTATCAACACTTGGTGTTCGTTCATTGCACTGAACCAACCGAATGGTTGAACTCATGAATAATTAATGGAGGATTGGTATGTCAACTGAATGTTGGCGCAACTGTCGCACAAATTGAAAATGCAGAAATGGTTTAACCAGATTTTGCGAAAGGATATGTGTGTATGCCCGCGAGTATTGATAGTGCTGAGACTAATAGTACTTGAATTCATATTAGAACTGCAGCTATGAAGCATTGCGTCATCAATCGTGAGATGTGGTGGTAAAAAGAGATACGATAAAACGTTTTCTATGAGATTTAAGGATATGATTGTTCAAAATCACAGATTTTCACAACCGGGTGATTTGAAAGAAATTCGATGTTGTTCCTTATTCTAGCATTGTAGTATAATTGTATGTAAATAAATGTTCTAATGATATTTAAAATAATCTAAATTTATACTAAATATATACTTTTAATTTGGAGCAATAAAGATATATTTTTTTAACGAAAAAACATAAAATTGCGGCCATTTAGAAAATGAAGTAATCAGCCTAAAAAACGAAATCAAAGCAAGACTATAAAAATGGATGTTTTGTGAGATTTGATTGTTGAGACAATCTGGTAATATTTCAAAGTTTCCTTATTAAAACAATTGTTACTTATTAAAACACTTCAATGGTTTACTACAATGCGGAACTGAACAGAAGGAAATATCCAATCAGAATTTTGAATGGAAGTCAAATGGCTACTCGCACTCTGTTGAAAATAGGAATGGTCGTGCCGAACTGGGTACGTCGATAAAATATTCATTGCGTCCTTGATATATTGTTGCTTTGCATTTCTGAAAACAATGCGCAAAGGTTACAATATACACAAGTAATCCTCAACCATCATTCAAAAAGAATTTTGAAGAGAACACAAGGTTTAGGGTCCGAAAACCTATGAGAATATGACAAAGTTAAAAAGTACATTTGAACGAAAAATTTGAGTGAACGACTCCCATGACAATTTAGATGGCGATTCGGAAGATATTCATTTTTCAATCTGGTTACTGCAATAAGCCATGAACCAATCTTCTAGCATCACTTCAAAAACAGAAGAATTTTGAATAATGATAGGCTTCTTAAGAACATCAATGAATTGAAAAAGAGAGCAATGTCCTGGAATAAAGGGGGATTGAGAATATTTGAGAAATGGTAAAGCCATTGAGAACACATCGCACAATTTCGAAATGCATCCTGGTATGATCTGCGTGTAATTGAATTTCCGCCGTTTGACTGAACATGAAATGGGTGGTTAATGGATGTCGTCGCGAGCATATTTCTTCGGATGAGCTCAGCTCTTTTTTTTCGGTGCCACCCTACACTGAGTCATCGTTATTTACGACACTCTTCGCAGTATACGGTATCAATGAATCAAGAATAAGAAAACGTTCGAGAGCCATCTGTCAATGGGCCGCTGCAGAAGGCAGGAGCAGCAAGTGATGCGCGAATCGGCGTCGGCGGCCTATGACAAAACGACACGCGTTTTGTTGTGTCGTTTGCGTTTTTGGTGTGTCCTTCTTCATCATCACACGCTCGTCTGCCATTGAAACCAGTTGAGTGCCCAATTGAGCTGCTCATTTTGTATACGACACCAGCCGACGCCGACACTCGCACCAATTTCCAAAAAAAAACGTGCTGGCTGTCACGTTTTCTGAACGGTTACGTCGTATTATGAAATAAATGAAATGTGTTGATCATCATATCTCAACGAAGAGCGCACTTGGAAAATTGGCTAATAGATGCCTAGAATGGATGGTGGCGATGTTGACGCATATAATGACTGTTGATTCGATAACTCGCTAAACTCAAACTGAAATGAAAAGAAAAACAACACATAAGTTATAGCAGAATGGCGTGGAGGGTAATTAACATGGTAATCCAAAAAGGAATAGGTTCCGGCGAACGGATTGATGAACGACCTTTTCAGGGAATGGCGTGTTCTATTCGACTTCATATATATATCGCGAATAAAAGAATGATTAATCAATGTGAAGACATGAAGACGCACTCGGCCTATCGCAATTCAAAAATTGATCAAAAATTAGCTAGCATTACAGTAGTCTTGCGTTCATGACAAGAATGCCTTAAGATTTCGAGAATATTTCATCACCATAAATACCTATTGCTTGAAATATTTTGAAGTAGAGATCCGCTTTTGAAAATAAAATTTGGACCAAAAAAACTTTTTTAATTTGCTGTGTCTGGTCTTAATGTCCATAAAATGGAAAAAAACTTTTTAATAGTTGCCGTTAATAGTATAATTAGAGGGGAATGTTAAAGAATTTAATAGGATGAAGCCAAATAGAAATAATAATTTTTAATTGTTGAATATGAAATTTCGTACATATTGTACATGAGTGCGTTGTAATGTTTGTGAAAATTCTTTGTTTATGTGCTTATTTGTATATTTGTGTAGAAAGGCAATAAAAAATAAGCACCTTTTAATCAAATTGCATTGCAAAATACAACATAGAAAATGGCAAGGTTTGGATGGTGGTTCTATGACGTGAAAAAGATCCATGTTCGGTTGCAGAAGAAAATTGTAATCGCAGGGTTGGTTTTCAAATAAATTGGTTTCGCGTTGCTTGAATTAATTCTATTGAAACAAAAGTCGAAATCATGCCATTTTTTTCTTGAGAAGGTTTCGTTTTTATTTGACGAGCAGACGAGAATGAAATAATGAATTGGCAGCAAACAGCCAATGGGTTGCTCTAAATGGGCGTTGCATTGGCACATCAATAAACTTATCCTTTAGAATTGGCAAAGGGTGCGGTGATTAGCAATGCATGGTACCAACGCTCAGCCATATGCACAATTGCAGTTTTATGGTCTTGCCGCGACATCAGAATTGTCATAAATTTTCAAACAATCGCATGCCTAGAATAGATTATCGCCGACGTTGAAACAAGAACTCAAGATGACGGCAATTACAGAGGGGACGAGGCGCGGCAAATGCACAGCAACAAAAGGAGGAATCAGCAGGAAACACTGGAAAAAACCAGCCTGTAGAAAACATGTGTGAATCAGAACAGAAACGTCCGCCAAGCCTGCTCAAAGTTTGACCAACGGCTCATGGCCTCTTAGCTGATTAGTACAGTCACGAATGTTTTGCGCTGCAATGCTCTTGTTGCCAAATACTTTTCATCAACAAATAAGGTCGAAGCAATAGCACAAATTGCCGACGTTTCAGGGTTCCAATGCCTACAATAGAACAACGGAACCAAAATTTCATCATCTCATACAAATAACACAGTATTTAACTTTTGTAAGGTTTACTATTAAATACATAGATGATAACTTTACACACTAATAATATTAGAACAATTCGAAAAAAAATTTTCCACTAACTTTCCAACTCAATCATATGTGAAATTTCTATTTACAAGTTTCTTGCAAATTATTACATTAATAAGATAGGCAATGCTCGTGAGGGTCTAAAACGGGTGCGCAAAGTGTGCACTATTCGCAGCTTTTTTTTCTTCATTGTACTTCGCGATGCGTTTTGCTTTTGAGTTCACCAAAAATACAAACATTTGCATTGAATTCATGTCATTTCGCCCTGATGGTCGGTCAATGCCGGGCCAAGTCATTTTTCTCACATTAGGTCGATTGAACAATGTTAACAAGATAATAGTATCAAATGATTGCCATATATTTAAACTATTCAGCAGCATTCATTTTACGAAAATTATTTTAACAAGGGATTTTTTATTCGGCTCCTCCGGCTACGGTCATGTTTGCCTTCAAAACACCAAACCTGATTGAATTGCACAATGAATTTTGTAAAACTTCAAATACCTATCCAATTCGACTTTGAATATATATATGTATATATATATATATATGGAAAATTACTGGAACACATCATTCAAAAATTTCAAAATGCGGGACGCATTTGAAGCAACTAAAAGATCAATAAAGAAATAATGAAGATAATATTTTTAGCTTTGCAGCAAATAACAGTCATGTATGGTTATAATACAAATAAAATTTTCGGAAACTTTGTATTTTTTTTTGAATTCCTAGAGGTTAACTGAGCCAATTCCTTTCTATAAAACGTTCTCCATAAGCATTATCGTTTACACCAAAGAATTAAAATTATGTATGCATTTGATAATACTATATTTATTGATTTACTTTTTGCATATCACACATTTTGATTGAAATATAAAATAATTTTTTAGTGAAAATCCTTTCATCTGACCCATAATATCGAGCAAACAGAATTCCTATTGTGTTCAATAATGTAACAATTGCTGCTACCATGAAGTGTGTGTTTTTTTTCTGGACTCATGAGAAACACTCGACCAATACGTTAGGAAAGAAGAGCGCGTGAGCCAAATCGCACCTTTCAAGGACTTTTGTCAATACGGTTCATCGCAAGGGCGTGTTTTGACTCCCCATTTTGGAGGAACGTTTTCCATAATAGGATATCTGCAATCCGCGTTTATTGTTTGTGTTATTCGCTGTTTTATTTAAATTGTGGTTCAGACACGATTCACATCATAATTTGCATTTGTTAGTATAGCTACGTATAAATAGCTCCAACGAATCGTCAAACCGCTTCTAGCGCTCATTTGAATATTTTATAATTGTTTTACAGATGCGCACAATATTCTTAGCTTTGAGTATTATTTCTTTCGTTTCAACCCGATTTTTTGATGTCTGTCCTGGAAGGCGACAGTCTATAGGAGGTTGAGAAAACTGATTTTTTTATGGAATTTGTCTTTTCTTTCTAGCTTGTCTTGTCGGTTTATGTCCAGCAGGATCAGAATGTATAAATTCATATTGCTGTAAGATTATCTTCAGACTGTTGAGTTTTATTTTGCCAACTTAAGGTAAATTCAAAAAATCGACGACTACTCCATCTGATTTGATTGAAATGGAAGTTGACGAAGTCTCGGAGTTTGGAACCTGTGCTTCTGGGGAACGATCTATTGGCGAATGCATTTCAGAAGCTTGTCCATTAGGTTATAAATGTGAAAAAGGATATTGTTGCGGTCAGTTTGTAGTTGTTCCTATTTCAATTAAATAGAATACATTTAGAAAAGAATTCTACTGATACTAAAAGGAAAGGAAAATGTAATTTCAATTTTTTATTCATTTTCCAAACTTCTAGAGCTTCTTTTTCAGTTCGAAAAGAGGAAGAAATTCCGATGAAATCCTCTCCAATTAGTCTGATCACCACCCCACCAGAAGATAGTCAGGAAAATATAATGAGCGAAGAAAGTGAAACAACCAAGCAGGTGACGTCGGAAGAATCCACCACGACTTCAGATGTGAGGCGCACTAATCTCGTCAAAGATTCACAATAAAATATTTCAGCGCGACATTGACGAAGTCGAAATTGATGAAGAAGTTGAGGAGGAAGAAGAAACGACGACTACTACTAAAGCGACGACAACCACCAAGAAACCAACAAAGGCATCGAGAAAAGCCAAAAAACCGAAGTACATCTATAACACATTGACATTTTTGCAAATTTTAATGCAGGAAAAGAACAAGAGCTCCAACAACTATAAAAACAACGACGACACCAGAACCAGAAACTACAATCGAAACTACAACGGAATATATTACGACTACGACTACAGCTGAAGAGCGAGAAGAGATCACAAATCCCACTGAAGAAGTCACTGAACCAAATTTTGTATGCCCGGTTGGTGCTCCAATTGGAGGTATTTATCTCTTAAATCTTTATTTTTAACCTTTGATCTATTTTTAGAATGCATTGCAAACAAATGCCCCGAAGGTCACTCGTGTCTTGAAGGGCAATGCTGTGAGTTTCGAAACATTTTTGTAATAGAAGTGTAAAGATGTTCTCCGTTCAAAATTTGAAAAGTTTTGACGAAAAAAAAAAATTTTTTTTTTAACTTGTTATTCAATCAGATTTTACGACTTCTAAAAGCTCATTCACGAGTGAATTTTTGTTTACTCAATCATCAAATAGGTTCCTTCTCCTTTTTTCGATTCTAAAGAAAGACGTATCCACAAACCTCATTTCCTACAAAACAATTTTTTCGTCTCAGGCATTCTCACACCACAAATAAATTGCACCGACGAGTTGGCCGGATGTCTTTCCCATCTTTGCGATCGTAAAGGCTATCGCCAATTTATGACCAATAATTGTGCGAAAACGTGTGCCAGATGTCATTTGATAAACATAGTAAGTCATAAATGAAGCGTAATTGAAAATTCGAATATTCCAGACATCTAATGAAATTCGAGATTGTCGCGATAGAAGATCGGATTGTGAAGAATGGGCTGCTGAAGGCTTCTGTGAAAGTTCATTGTATACAACACGCCAAAAATTGAAGTTCTGCGGAAAAAGCTGCAAACTCTGTTAAAAATACATATTTTCTAATTTTTGCTACAAGCACATATTCTAAAAATGCTACTATTGTTTATAAAGCTATATATCTGGGTTATAAGTGTTTTGGAGTAGCTATTTGATAAAATCTCTATTTTGATAAATATTCCATTTCCCTGAGCTGCACCTATTGCATACTACTTCTTTTCATTATTTATTTTTTCCTAGTGATATAAAATAAAAGATTTAAAGCCAATCGACCAACATATTCATTTTATAGCATAACGAAATTGAGAAAATTAAATTTGGCAAAAAATAAAAAATTAAATTAAATTAAATTTCGTAAATTTTTCCATTTGACAACGGACGTCATTAATTCACAGCAAATCAGAAAGTTCAAGAAATTGAAATAATAATAAAACAAATCTTTAAAACAGATTATTGAATTATGATAAAGTACAGATTCAAAAATTTCACAGGAATGTGAGAAAGTTAAAAAAAAATGATTAACCGATGTGTTCGATGAGTTCAATGATGACAGAAGATTCTTTTGAATTGTTTCAATCAAAAGAATTGGAATTGATGGTGTTTAGCGGTTTCCAGTAGTTCCGCCATTCATGGAACGACGCATTCGGTTCATTTGTTGATTCGGCTGTAAGAAAACATTGCAAAGATATCTAAAGCACAATTCTCTTACCATTGGCTGATAGCTACTTCGTGCTGAATGAGCTCCGTTTTGCATGCCTCCCCAAATGCTCGACAATTGCGGGCTGCCATTTGAATAGTATGGTCCATTCATTCCCCAGCCCATATCCGGCGTTTGATGGATCATGTTATGCTGTCCATTTGAATTGCGTCCTAAAAATTGAGTATAACAGAAAAAATTTTGGGAATGAATTTGAATTACCCATTCGATTGTTGTAATAATAGACGTCCGTTGGCGGAGGAGCTGGAGCAGCATTGAATCGCAATGTTGGTGGTGGTTGCGTCACAGTTGGTGGTGGTTGATTGAAAAAATTTGGAAAACCAGCAGAATTCGAGTTTTGCATATTCATTGAAAAATTTTGCTGTCGCACGCCACCTTGAGACGTCCCATTTGCACTTCCGTTCACTCTATTGAACATGTTGGATGGACGTTGACTGCCGACTGCCAAACTTGACGGCGGAAGCGACGGCTTGTCATACAAATATAATGATCCAAATCCCAATGAATTGCCGTTGTTTCTGCTTCCATTAAATCCACGAATATCGTTATTGCTCGGTGCAAAGAAAGGATAAAGATTGTTTGCACTAGCAGCCAAAACTGAGGGCGGTGGTGTTCCTGACAAGGCAGCAAGGTCTAAATTGTTTGGATTCCAAATATTATGCGTTCCTGATCCTAAATATTTAAATAATTCCGATTAATAAAAGTCAAAAACTTACGATCAAGTCCCATAGCATCAATATTGAGATTAAAGTGATGCGGTGGTGGATTTTGAGGTTGCTTTCCATGATTTGATGAATATGAAGACAAGTAGTTTGTCGGTGGTGAGGCAGCGTTTCCACCCGTACGATTTTCGTTGTTAGAGTACAAGGGTTGGAATGCAGAGTAATGGCCAGAGAATGGAGCAAGACTATTATTAGGCGCAGATCGGCACGATTGAGAATTGTATTGATCGACGGGTTTGACAGTGTCCATTATTATGTCACCTATTTGAGGTTGAGGTTTAACCATTGCGACATTCATTTTTTCGCCGTCCATTGCAGGTGTCCAGAGATCCTGAAATTAATACGTTTATTATTTTAAATGATTTGTTGAACGAGACCTTAATGCGATTCATTTTTTCTTTGAGGGTAGCATCATCAGTGTTTGTTGAGGGAGCAGCAACGACTTGCTGTTGAATAGTAGATTGATAATTAGTAATACTCTGAAAATAGTAGTCATGAAGACTCTCAGAAAACTATAAAATCATTACGTGTAGCTTAGGATCAAATGTGAAATCGTAGCCGTTGGTATCGTTTTCGTTGACTTTCTCTTCACTGGATCGTTCAGGAAATTCGATTGTTCCAGGCTCCACTGGAGGCTTCGAAACTTGCTTCAGTTTTGACGCTTGACCAACAAGGTTCCCTATCTCGTGCTCAATTGCTTTTATACCGCGCTCTATTTCTGCTGATCCTTCATCATCTGCGCTCGGTTTCTCGGTTCCATTTTCCTTAGTTTTATCTATAGAGCTTAGTAGACCGTTTGGTGGCATATTATCTGATTCTAAATACAATTGCATTCTTGATAGTTTCATTTCAAATCAAACCTTTTCGAAGAGCTTTCGGAACAAACAATTTACCACGTTGTTGACGAACTTTCTGACTAGCAGGTTGCTCTGGTTTCGGTGCCGTTTCTTTACTTTGCTTTTCCTTTTGCTTCTTAGTCTATATTAATTGGATAAAAAACAACTAGTCATAGAATATCACCTCATCACATTCATTAAGATCTTCATTTTCTTCCACAACTGTATCGTTTTGACCCTTTTCTGGTTTCTCGAACCCATCAGCACCATCGTTCTTTTTGGGACCACGATTTCGAGTTTTTGCTTTAGTTTTGGTTTCAGGTTCGTTACGATTATTTTCAACTCCGTTTGTGAGCTAAATTTACATATTCGAAATTTATTTCCAGCTAAAATCTTTACCTTCTTTCCATTTGCGGTTCGGTTTCGAGCCCCACCGCGATTTTTTCGACCACTATGGTTGCTGCTCTCCTAAAATGACATTTTCATATATAACACTATCAAAAAGGGTAATTACGTGGGAATTGCTGCTTTTATACGAATCGTTGCGTTCTCTTCTTCGCTCTTGGTTATAGTTTTCTTCATCAGAAATTGCCTCTATTTGATCTTCGACGCGTTTCCACGAACGACTACCGTTCGCAATTAGTTTACCATTGCGTTCCGCATTTTTATTTTCTTCCTGCTTTCGATAACCACGAGAATCGATTTGTCCAGTTAACCGGCGCACATCATTTGAACAAGGCTGTCTTCTAGCGCGAATAGCAGCTCTGGTGAACTCCGTGTCAGCATTCTTTCTAGCAGATTCTTTATCAACGCGAATTGATGCAGCCTCAGTGACCAAAGGAAAGTGTTGTTCTATAGCTTGTTGCATGACTTTAGGAATGTTGCGCTGTTTCTCTCGTTCTTGAGATTCACGTTCTTCTCTACGTTTTGCCCAAACATTTTCTTGCGGTACAGGTGCTGGCAGCACATCCTCGCTTGACTTGTCTTTCCTCGAGTGATTGACATTATTAGGATCCTCTTCCATGCCGTTTTTCCCATTTTCCTTTTGCTTTCTATCTCTTCCGCGCTCAATTGGGCGACTTCCATCACGTTTCTGTTCTTCGGTATCATCACCAGCTTTTCGTTTAATAATATTTATAGCCGGTTTATCGAGACGAGTCATTTGAACTTCTAAAATTTTACTCAATTTTCAACTAATCTAAAATATTCCTCACCTTCATCTTCGTCACTAATATCTTGAAGGAACAATTGATCAGTGCGCTTGACAATTCTAACTTCTTTTCCCTAAAATACAACGTTAAAAAATTATACATTATGCCAGAGGAGAACAAATATAATTAAAAAAGAAAAAGGAATCTTACCTTCTTGTCGCTTCGAACTTTATTGGATTTGCTTTGAAGCTTTTTGTTGGCTGGTTCAACGCAAACAACAACTTCCGTTTTTTCTTCTTGAATCGCCCGTACGTCCACCGGGGACACATCGCGATCTTCATCAGTGGAATAAGATGTAACTCGATCCAGCGAGTCATAATCATCATCATCACCTAAACATGTGCTATTTAGCAAAAAAAAAGTTGTGCACACGAAGAAGGAATAAAGGAATCGAAAATTAATAACTCACTTGATTTCGTCTTGGGCTTTCCTGATTTGAGATTTTTAGACTTATCAAGGAATCGTGCAGGGACAGTCTCCATATACTCATTAAGTGACATATTTTGCACACTTGTTTGCATTTCATTACATGGGTAATTATCTGAAAAGAAAACGGCAATTATTGAATAATAGAACTTGCCATTAAATAATGCGTACCTTGTTTGTCTTCTGGGTGACTTGTTGTTGGAGCAAGCGACGGAAATTCTCGTACAGAGCCGTTAGCTGATTGCTCGGGTGAGCCAACAAGCCAAGAAGGTCGCAAATCGTTGCCTGCGTCTTTGGCGCACGCATTCGTTGATTGCACTTCAATTTCAACAGGAGCTGCATCAGTCTTGCTCCATCCAGTTCCTCCTGCACATAGAAAATTACAGAGTGACGATGTCAACGAACGACGAACCTTGAGGAACAACTTGAGTAGTCGGGTCCTGTCCATTGTTCTCGGCTTTCAATGAAGGCAGAGTTGCAGGAGGCGGCATACGTCGTACAACACCGGCTGATTTCCCAACTGATTGCAAGCCATATCTCCCTGAAAAATAGCTATAAATTCGTATCATATATATATATACCTTGTTCTTCGTACATCGACGAATCAATTTACTTTCAAAAGAAAACAAATGATAAGAAATCATATATTTTCCTCATAGAAACGGATTTTCGATAACACATGTGTAACGCTTCAAATTATATTTGGAACGTTAGTAAACAAAAATGGATTTTTAATAGTTCTTTCAAAATATTTTCGTTATTTCTTGTGAATTGTTTGAAGAGATTTAGCAGCAATACCGCTTTGAAATTCCAAGAGCATTATAATATTAGAAGATTAGCATAGATCTAAGAAATGTGCATATGTATTGTCTTTTTTTTTAATTAAATTAAACACCTCCAATTTTATTTATAAACTTTTTAATGACGTCATTCTTGTTTTTCGTCAATTATAAAGAAATATAATTTTTTGGAAAGATATAGAAACGAAGCACTTACCAGAAGCCCTTTGCCCAGGGGCAAGATTACGTCCCGAAAAGAGATTGTTAACGTTAACTGCTTTTGGCTTAATGGCGCCCGTGGCACCTCGATTCAAAGACGACATGCGGTCTGAAAATATTGAATTCAGTAAAATGCAAGCACTTCTAGGCACCGCGCAGCAAAATCTAATTAACGGTTACGAGAAATTGACGAACAACCCGGTCGAATAATAAGAACGGCTGAAATTAATTCTGCTCGAAAATTATAGTGTTCTCCGACGAACGCTATTACAATTTATACGCTTAGCCACTTAAAAAATCGCCTGGCCAATTTTCTCTTCAACTTCGAATACAACAAAAAACTTACTCAATCAAAACAGAAACAGACATAGACTTGAAAATAATGAAAAACTCCAGTTCTATTGGTTTCGCGAGCTTTTGAACCCTTGTTGTAACCTGCAAAAAATGATTTATATTGCATTTAGGTAAACTGACGACAAAGTAAGTCATATATGTGCATTGGGGCTTTATCCAAAAACGGGAGACAAGCGAAGAGAGGATGAGCAAAAATGGAGAGGATAATCCTGAAGAGAGACATGACATTGGAAATGCGATTGAAGAAAGCGTTCAAAATTAGAGACGCAGAGTGCTGAGAGAGGGTCACACACACGCTAGCGAGTAGTATAGAGGCCCTAGCGACGCGAATCAATACTTCATAACGACCACCCAGCGTTCGAATAGCCGCGAAAACTAATCCAACACAATTGACTGACAAAAGTAATTTTTCGGCCAACTAGCAGCGACACAGCACAACACTCTCTTTCTGTCATTTTCCATAAAAAAATTGAAATTCAAGTTGAACGGATTACGAAAACATGAATATAAAAAATAGACACGTGAGGTCGAGGCGTACAACATCACATGAAATTTAAATGCTATGCAGTTTTTCTCGTTCCCTTTTCTTTCAAACAATTGCAATAATTTATGACAAATGAATAAATAGGAACAACGCTGGCCACCTAATAGTGTGATTTATTTTCATTGTTTCTCTCTCTCTCGGCAGCAAAGAAAATAAAACTAACTAATTGACAAAGATACAAATCAAAATGTGAGAATATCGCGGTTTTTTTTCGAGAAAAATTTCAACGATGATGATGCTTCCAATGTTATCAGCGACAGCAATTGGCTGCTAAAACCTGACCCGCTAAATGGTATGAAAAGCATTGCTTGTCGAAGGACCACTTAAAAATTGTATTACTCAAACATGGTTTTTAAAACCACTTTATTAGCATAATTGTAGCTGTTTTTCCAAACATTAAACGTCTGAATTTGAATTGTACACTGATTAAATCAAGTTTTAGGATATGAAACATTTAAAAAAAGAGAAATTATCTACAATTATACTAAATTTAAACCATTTCTACGAACGAAATGGTTTATTATTTATCATTGAGAATTTGTTGTGCATCGTATTTTAATAGCTACCATTTGCGTTTGGTTTGAAATGAAGTTTCGAAAAACTTGACTGAATGATTTATTTATTTTAACCCGCGCTAGATGTTCGGCGAGATTCAAGATAAGAAGAATTGACTAGCAACTACAACTATAAAGAAAAAATTTCAAGGGCATTACCCGACATTGAGCGAATCGTTGTAGAAAAACAACGATATAACAAATGCAGCATATGCTTTCTAATTGTACAATTTAATTCGAAACAGGTGTTTTGGTGTTCGTGCTTCTCAGTTATTCAGAGAATTTAATTGCATTTCAAAAACAATTCAATTAATGTATCACTGAGCCCACACAAAACTCCGATTGATAGGAAACAATTCATCCGAACACAAATGTTAGTGAATAATTTGAGTTTACAGCAGTTACGTTAGGAAAATGCTGGAAATACGTCTTCATTGAATATACAATTGTGCAAAAAAAAACATTTGTATACTATAACTGATATTTACATAATGTCATCGAAAACAAAAAAAAGAGGTCGACTGTATTTTTTATATAAAAAATTGTTATTTTTTTCTTCAATGAAAAATATAATTAATTGAAATTTGAGAATGCTCAGAGAAAAACGAAAGAAAACGAAAAACAAACAACGAGCAGCGTTTCTTTCGTGCAACTTCTGAGCGACGGGCCGCGATCTCAGTAGGACGGTCGCAATTGCGCTGCATTGTGATGATCAGGGAAAAACGTAATAATCGTGAATAAATTACCATAGCTCACATATTTATAATGGAAATAGGAATCAATCGGAAACCAATAGCCAAAGTACCTCAGCAGTTGGCATTTGGAGAAAATTTTCTCACTGAAACTGCATATTTAATGGGAGAAAAACTTATTTCACTAAATAAATAAAAACGAAATTTAAATCTAACAGTAAGTCATATTGGATGACAACGGGTACTTCACACGTTACGTTCCTTAACATTACGTACATAGTCAGTGGTTAAAAAAACGATTTTGTGAAGTTAACTGCCACAAAGTTAATAACAAATATCATTTCGAAATTTCTGAACTTCGGAAAGTTCGGACAAAATTGAATAAAAATGTGATAAAATTCATTATGAAAAATTTTACGACTCTTTATAAATTTACAAAACAATACAAAATGCAAGCAAGACAGTACATTAAAAAAATGATGGTGCAGAGGAAATAAAGATTGTGCAACGAAGAGATATGCAGACGAAATCTGAGAATCATTTTTTTTGGAAGGTTGGCCCGAAAATCAATGATGTTGGATGGAAACCAGTGCAATTTTTTTTTAATTTTGCAGGTAACGGTAATTACTTCAAATATAATTCCGAAATCCATTTTTTTAATTATACATATATTGTCGGCGTCGAACGATTGGATGGAGGCGGGCCTTCAAATTTGCGAAATCAGTGAAGATTAAAATTTTTCGTTGACTGAATATTAAATGCGCGTACGCAATAATGCAATGTATGCAGTACTTCGTACTTCTCGCTGCCTCGAGACGCATTTGGCAATATCCAATAATTTTTTAAATTTGTCGTTTGACTTTGACAATATATAGAAATTAATTATTACTATTATTATTTGAATGTGTCCCAAAACTCATGTTTTTTTTGTTTTTAATGTAATTTGACAAATGGTTGAAGCGAAATGTCATAACTCATAAAACAAATGCTAATGACTGAAAAAAAAAACAATGAACGTTGAAAATCGATGAATGCGTAAAACCGCTTCAATAGCATACAGAAATCGGTAAAAAAGGATGATTGCTTAAATGCAATCAAGAAGGTCGATGTGTGACAAATTGAGAAAAAGTCTGCGCTGGCCACGAGGCGAAGAGTTGCGATTATGTGCTCCACACCGAAAAAATATGTTGCAGAATCAAATTAAAGAATAATGGGAAATTGTGGACTCATTGAACAAGATATTAGCTTATATGTGTGTAATAATAATCGGAAAACCAACTAATCAAATCTTGCAGTTTTTTGGAGTTTGTTAAAAAGGCATAGAAATATGATATTTGATTGTTGGCTACACGAAAAAAAAAGACTACGAAATCTGAAGAGGTGAAGTTTAAATTTAGGAAAATATGTTAATTTTTTTTTAGTTTAAAGTATTTAAAAAAATATTTCAGTAAAAACATTAAGATTGATATTTAGGCAATGAATTTTTTAGAAAAGAGTAGAATTACCATAAAAAAAGGTTCAGGTTACTTGGTGTACTATTATCAACTCAAAAAAGTGCCCTAGATGTTCACGGACTAAAGAATTTGTTCGAGTCTCAAATTTCGAGCTAAACAGTGAATTAGTTCATCTAACTTCGACTGCACAAACCCTTTGTAATTTAATCAAAGGCGCTCCGTTTTTGCGATTACAAAACAATGTTCATAAATCATGGGAATGTCTCATAAAAATGGTAAGTAAAATGTATTCAATACTCACTAGTATGTTATCTCCGTTATCAGTTTTGCGATCATACTATACATAAATCTTTATGAGAACATTGAATAGCCAAACATCTATAGAGCTGAGAATTAATAAACTCACATATCACGCCTTCGAACTTACGTCTTCGTACATAATGTTTTATCAGAGTAGATATTTAGGTGCCAAATTTTGAATTTTTTTGCCCAAACCGGCTTATTTTCAGAATTCTTTGGCGAAAATTTGCGGAATTCGCGATTTCACGTTTTTTTTTATTTTTTCCGATTTTCTTTTAATATATTTTTGCTTCCAGAAGTAATTTTTTAAATATATATGTATGTTGATAATTAGGAAAATACCTTTGTGTGTATATATCGACAACTTGTAACTGCACAAAAACAAAATACAAGATTCCGAATGCTTTGCAAGTGAGTTTTATTGTTGCCGAAAAAACATAAAAAAGCCATAAAATTATCAAGCCGTTTAGAAATTGTGATGTGGTTTGTATGCTCTTTCTTCTTCTTTTCCGAACACTCACCTATCATGAATTTTTTTAAACTAATTATTCTTTTTTTTTTGAAATATGAGCGCGCAATTCAAAAATCAAACTGAGCAAAAATTTCATTTCTGCTTATGTCACTATTTCCATAAAATCGATTCCAAACCAAAAAAATACCACCAAAAATTTTTAAAATTTCATATACCTAAGATTCATAAAACAACTATTAGCTAATGAAATAAACTACATTTGGACGAATGTTTAAAATTGGATTTATAAAAAAGAGTATTTTCGTCGGAAGATGTATGCGAGTATTTTACGATTCTTTCAGTATGAGGACTGGCACATTTTCTATTTGAATTTGCCATCTTTTTGCATTTCTAATGTTTTCAAAAATTATTGAAGCCAACCATAAAATTTGAAATAGTGAGTAAATCCGCGCAAAACTACTTCGCAAAACGCATAATCATAAATTGACCGACATATATTGTTTTATTTTTTCGAAATCATTTTCTAAGAAAAAAAGTGACTTTGAAAACAATTGTTAATGGAAACAAGTTTTTACATTCATTAATAAAAATCAAAAATTCATAAAATCGCAATTTCTCAAGATTTCTCCCCCGCTAACAAATTATGACCGGTCATAAATATATTGAGTCCACAAATCAAATTTTATGAGAGGAAAATAAATAAAACCAACAATTAAATTGTCATGTTATTAGAA